TCCGCGGTTTAACCCTCTTCCCCATTTTTTGCGCTGGTTCCTGGTCTGTGGTAGCCACCTTTGGCTCTTGGTCAGCATGGTCGGAGGGGTTTATTACCTGAGTTATTCCCAACTGGGTGCCCAGAGGGGAAATAGGACATTGGATATGATGAAGAACGGATCTCCCGACCTTCTCACAAGTCTCGGTTGGTTGAATTAGTGAGTTGAGCTGGAGGGAGCTGTGCCCTGGGGTCCTGGACTGGGCCCAGGATGGTGAGGGAGGGATGAACTGATGCGGATGAAGCCCGAGGGACAAGGGCAGAGCTGGCGGGAGTTGACCAGGTGAAGCAAGTAAGGGATGGAGGGGGCATTGGAAAGCAGATCTGCAGAGCAGAACAGGCCCGGAGTGGTTTACTCCAGGCAGGTGATCTTCATGTGGGCATCAAGCATCCATGGATGCAAAGCTGCTCTCTGCCCAGGGCTTAACTGGGTGTAGAAATGATCCTGGCGGGGGAATAAGGTGCTTTCTCTAATACAGCTCAGAGGAGCAGGAGGAGCATCCACAACTGGTTCCTTGCATCTAACCCAGCAGGGAGGAGCTCTCCCAGCTCCTGGCTGTGCTCCCTGCTCCTGACTTCTCACGGCACGTGACCCTGCTCTTGATACTCTCCTATGGGACCTCCTTCCTATCCTGCTTGGTCTGAGGTTCTCCCCTTCCCCACATCATCTCTCTCTGATTCCTCTCTGTAAATAATCCATGGCCCAACAGCAACTGAGGGTTAGTACTTGAGAGCCACTACTCGAGATTTTCGCCCACAAAAAAAGAAAAAAAAAAAGAAAAAAGACTAAACAAAACTGAGGAATTGACAGACTGGAGACGGTTGCTGGCCAAGGAGGATGAATCAGCTCCAAAGTGCACATGGAGGGATCTCCTCCTGCGCCTGGCAAACAGCAGGAGCTCCCGCCTGAGTCAAATGAATTTGGGCTGCCTGCGGCCAGAGAATGTGGCTTGAAACGGCGAAAAGCAGAATATGCAGAAGGGGCAGAAAAAACATCCTCCTGCTCCTCTGCGCTCAGGCCCTCTCGCAAATGCACAGCAGGGGCAGCACCAACACTTCTCTTACTGCATCCTCGCCAGTCCAGATGCTGCACATTTACAGAAGGAAACGTGATGCTGAGCAACACGGTGGCTCGCAGCAAAGGCCCCATCGCTGAGCTCTACCCCATGGTCAAGGCCAACTGAGTGGCTCGAGACCTCAGGTGGACACCTCTGGGAGCTGGTCTTTCCGGGCCTCCAGCTGCAAGCTGCTGGTGGCCCACATGGCAGTGACGAGCGTGCTCAGGACTGTCTTCCACTAGTGGAGTCTCAGTATGCGTTCGAAACGGCCCAGATGATCTTCCATCCCTGAGAGGAAGGTGCTGGTCCAACATCAGGGGATTTTATGCCTGCTTCTTTCCCGAGGGCTGGGTTTGCAAGAGAGGTGCTTGGGCTTGTCGGCGTTAGCTCATGGGTGAGCAGATCGTGGCTGCTATTTGGCTTGCTTTTTCTGCCCCATATGCACGTTACACTTCTTAGCAAGGCTTGCCGCCTGCCTGCAGGGCTCTGCAGTGCGCTAGGGTTCACCAAGCTCTGCATCCCACCAGCCCTTCTCCCACCTGACGTTTTGCAGGTGAGCCATGCATGGGAATTAGGAAAAAGAATATGCACCGTCCCAGAAGAGGCAGCGAGGGAGAGCACGAGGGGCTTCCAAGCAGCAGGAAGGTCCCTTTACCAGTATTACCAGTAGCAGCATCCAAAATAAAGCACCAGGCCTCAGCAGGTGGAACATGCCCAGCCTTGAGGGCCAGCACCACAGTGAGTAACTCACAGCTGCCCATGACTTATGTGCTCTCCTGGGCTTGACCCAGGGCACTATTCACCTCCCTTCATCTCATGCCTATTGAAAAGACTTGCTGAGATGCAACACCGGGCACGCGCCAGGGTTTGGGGACGTATTGAAAAGAGCAGGAAGAAATAATGACCATGAAGGGCATTAGCAATGACAGCAATGAGAAGACCCAGCCAGTAATCAAACACTGCAATTTTCCCAGAAACATCTTTTCAGAGACATTACAGAGAATCAGGGAGAGTCATGGCCATAAATTCCAGCTTCCTGGAACTACTGCTACAACAGTCCCAGCACTTGATTTCCATCTCAGGCGGCTCCTTCCAACAGCCACCTCTCAATCTGGGTTATACGAAAACCCAGAAACAGAGTATACAGAAATATGGGGACTCTACTGCACAAAGCGCTGTAGAGGGACAAAGGAAAGGAGGAGGAGTAGCCGATACCCCAGAGGGCTGTGCTGCCATCCAGAGGGACCTGGGCAGCCTGGACAACTGGGTGGTGAAAACCCTCATGCAATTCAACAAGGCCAAGTGCAAGGCCCTGCACCTGGGCAGGAATAACCCCAGACACCAGTACAGGCTGGGGACCGACCTTCTGGAGAGCAGCTCTGCAGAGAGGGACCTGGGCGTCCTGGTGGGTGACAAGTTGACCATGAGGCAGCAGTTGCCCTCGTGGCCAAGAAGGCCAATGGGATCCTGGGGTGCATTAACAAGGATGATCAGGGGCCTGGAACATCTGCCCTATGAGGAGAGGCTGAGAGAGCTGGGCCTGTTCAGCCTGGAGAAGAGAAGGCTGAGAGGGGGCTTGAACAGTGTCTAGAAGTACCTCAAGGGAGGCAGTGAGGAGGATGGTGCCGGCCTCTTTTCAGTGGTGGCTGCCGACAGAACTAGAGGAAACAGCCAGAAACTGAAGCACCAAAAGTTCTACAGGAACTTAAGGAAAAATTTCTTACCAGTGAGGGTGACAGAGCACTGGAACAGGCTGCCCAGAGAGGTTGTGGAGTCTCCTTCTCTGGAGATCTTCCAAACCCGCTTGGACGCAGTCCTGTGCCACGTGCTCTAGGTGACCCTGCGTGTGCAGGGGGTTGGACTAGATGATCTCTAGAGGTCCCTTCCAACCTTAACAACATTATTCTATGATTCTACGAAAGAGTCTGCCGGTGCCCCGATGGGCTCCCAGGCCAACGGAAAACAAACTGGAGAAAATGGCAGAGAAAATCTCTCAACCGATGGGCCCAGCAGCACTGCCAGGAGCAAAGCATCGTTCTCCTGATCCCATTGCAATCCAGCTAGGTGATGCTGGACAGGTGGCTCTGCCTCCAATGCCAGGTCCCGGAGCACCTTGTGAAGGTGGCACCATGGGAGCAACGTGTCACCGGGCTCTTCGGCAGCATTTGGAGTCTGGCTGCTGCTAGTGAAGGAGCTCCCAAAGCTTTTCCAAAGGCTCTCGCCAGAGCTGCAGCATCCATGGTGGAACTGCCGGCTCCCAGGGATGCTCAGAGCGCTGCTGCCCTCTGCCATACGCCCAGCGAGATGTTCCAGCACGTGCCTTTGCAGGACGGTGCTGCCTTTAACCCCATTCTGTGCCCGAGCCCAGCAGAAGATCCCCGGCAGCTTTCAGGAACCCCGCCAAGACGCTGGGCTGGGAACGACGTGTCGCAGCGCCGGCACAGAGGAAATCACAGCAAGGCCCTTCTGCTCCGCTCCCACGTCCTGCAGACGCTGCCCACGCGCCGCCGCGTCGAGGCCCCCTGCTTCCCAGCCCCCTTCCAGCTTCGCTGCTGTCTCGCACACTCATCCCCGGCCCCTTTTCTTTGCACAGGATTTTTTTCCTGCCTCCTGCCAGGAAAATGAATCAACAGCTGACTCTGCCCATTAACACCAGCGAGCTGTGCTTTAATGCCAACTTAGAAGAGAGGCATTAGCTGCCTGCACTCCGTTCCCACCTCGCCACCCACACACACTGTCACTTCTCATCCTCCCCCAGCTGCAAGCCACGTCCACCCCATGCTCACTCTGCCCCAGAGCTTCCTGCCTCCTGAGCCAGCCAGAAGCCCCGGCAGCTCCGCTCGTGCCCAGGCTCCGTTGGGATGAGCACATTTTAACCACCGCCGCACTTTACCTTCCAGTCCGGCGGCAGCTGGGCACCGAATCCCAGAGCAGGAAACATTTTGTCTCTAAAACAGAAGAAAACAACAACAAAACTCCATATGGGCATATTTGCACACACGCACACAGAGGCTGCTTGCACAGCTCTCGCTAAAAGGCTCGCACCTGCGGATACCAAAGGCTGCGTCGCGTTACCAGTTGGCCAACATCAGCCACTGCAACGAAAGTGCCAAGTGTACAGCTGACCCCAGCACTAGGAAAGGTGCCAGTCCCTCCTTGCCCCCAGATAACGTAGTGGCTTTAAAAAACACAAGAGAGTAGGTGGTTCCCCTTTTGACTTTTGATCTTTAGGGAGAAAGGAGTTAAGTGTTGTTTGGTCAACCACAAGGCCGCAGGCATCTCCTCATCTACACAGTTTAGTCTCTCGTAGTCATATACGTCCAGAAGATGGGGATTTAAACAAATTTAAAATCTCTTTTGGTCCCAAAAGCTGGCAATTCCAACAGATTTCTGTTGTGTTTTCTCTAATGTCTCAGATGTTCTCCTATGTCATGCCCAGATCACACTACAGAGCAGCTGCAGAAGGAGACGGCTTGACAATGTGGCTGCTAACAGCAAATATCACCAAGCTGAGGGCATCTAGCTTGGCACTGAGAAAGCACGAAATGACTGGTCTCATCTGCCCCAAGCAATGGGCACTGAACTACTTCCAGCTGCAAGGATGGGGAGAGAGAAGAATTTCTCTCTGTCCTTACATGTCTCCTCTCCTCACTGAATTCCCTGCAGCTCAATAGTGAGGGGGCTACTTTCTCCCAAAGACATTTTCAAAAGCAAGGTAATATTTACCCCTACTTGGCAGACAGGAAATCAAGTCACAGAACTGGGTGAAATGAATCCCAGCAGCCCTTCAAGAAGCCAGGCCTGTAAAACAATGGTGGGAGCAAAGGTAATATTTACCCCTACTTGGCAGATGGGAAATCAAGCCACAGAACTGGGTGAAATGCATCCCAGCAGCCCTTCAAGAAGCCAGGGAAAGGCCTGTAAAACAATGGTGGGAGCGCAAAGGCAACAGTGCTTACGAGTCGTAGTCCTGAATGATCTGACCAACAGCCCAGATCGCTGACAGATATTCATTGGTTCCCATGGGGTTGATGTAGTGCAGAGAAGAAGGGTCTCGTGGGTTCCCGTTGGAGGCTGTGAAGTCAATGCCAACCTGAGTTGCAAGAGAGAAGCAGAGACCCATCCTCTGTTAGATGTCACCTGGTTGCACCAAGCCACCAATTCTCCATTGACTTGGAGATCATGACAAAGTCCAATCAAGACCCAAAGCTGTTGAAAGTCTAATGAAATGCGGGTGTTTGGCTTACTTAAAAAGGCCCTAGTTAAATACTCAGTTACACAAAGCAACCTGCTATTATCCTTGAATTTTTCACCATCACACATCATACACAAGTGGCCCAAAGCTCCCTGGTCCTGAAGCAAGCCCAAACCATTTCCAGCTGCCCATCTCCCAGATGTTAAACATTGTGACCAAGTGGCCTCAGAGACACGAAAGAGGCTGATTCCTGGACATTTGGACCTCAAGGTCTTTGACTCTGGCATCCAAAAGAGAGACACAACCCTCAGTGGGGCTCTTCCTGTAGCAGGACTGCTCTACCCTGGCCTCCTAGTTTGAGGGTTCTGTTTCTCAGCAAGCAACTGATGTATCACCCCAGGCAGGCTGTCTATTCAAAAACATGTGTAGGAACTTGCACGTGAGACCTCAGACCCCTCAGTCAAAAGCAGCAAGATGATGAGCCAACGGCTTTAAAAACAACTGGGAAGGAAGGGCAAGGAAGAGACAGGCAGACGGCGTGACTACATTTGCCTTGTTTGCTAAAGCAAATAGGCAAAACCCAAAATAACTCTGCTGGCTAAATTGGGCTCAGGGGATTTGCTCTGGATTTTGCTCAGCATCCACAAGGCGATAGGACAAACTCTGCTCACGAGCTCACAACCGCTAACGACGGCCCGCGCTGCGTCCACATGAGCCTTGCTCAATAAATGAACTTGTGCGACCAACGGGCCAGAATGGAGGCCAAGGACGGCCACAGGGAGCAGAGACCAGCAAGGCACCCAGCACCCTCCCAGGGCTCATCCCTGCCAGGTTGTTCCAGCCTCGGCCTAGGAGGTCTCCTGTGTTGCTGAGAAACTTGGAGATGATGCAAAAATCCATGCAAAGCAAAGATGCAGTTGCCTTGAGAAGTAGAAAAAAATACCCCAGTGCCCTCCAAAAATCAGAATTTCTTTAAACCAGAAGGCAGATTAGTTTGTATCAGAGCCTTGTGCTACCAGTAAACTTAATGATTTTCCTCTTCTACTCACTCTTTCACACCAAGACCATAGCACATAGCAGCAGAACAGAATATAAAAAGCTCTTGCACTTGCTCCTGTTTCTATGGCAACTCTTCTTCCTCCTCCTCCCCCCATGTTTTTTAGACCAGACAACAAAACAAAAAAATGAGATATTGTGTGCACCCAGAGCCCTCTCGATACTCTATAGGAAAAGTTTGCAGAAATTAGAAGGCTAAAACGCGTGTGTGTAGGGAGGAAAAGCCCACTTAATTTCTGCCGCGGTTTCACTCGAGGGTTGTAACTTCCTCTTTTAATTACTCTTGGCAAACTGCTTGGGCTTGAAATGCAGGGCTGAAATGCAAATAGAAACACTGCCTTGCTACCGGCTGAAAGTTTCTCAGTGGAGCCCCAAATAAGCGAATCTTGCTCAAAAAATCTAGCTGGTGGCTAATACCAATAGCAGGTAGACTTCAAAAGATCATGGGATCATCTCCAAGGAGGGGCGGAAATACCAGGCTGGGAGAGGTCACACGGGATGTCCCCAGGACAAGGTCTCCTGCTCAGGACTCCTTCCGAATGAGCCGAACTCGGCATTGCCCATCCTTGGAAGCACTCCTGCATTTAGCCAGAAATGAGGAAATGCCATTGCTAAACATGGGAGAGCAGGTGGTAAAACTTGGCGAAGACTCAGAAGAAGGTCTTTGCAGAAGTCCAGTCTTCAATATTAGTCCTGAAAACTAGCTAGCTGGTTGGATGCACCTGAGCATCACTGTAGCCATCCCAAAGTCTTGACACTACATGGCTTCAAAGCTAAATATGGCAGGAAAATCCTTCTCGCTGTCAAACCCCACTCAACCAAGGCCATCACATCTGGCGCCGTGGTCAAGCGGGACAATGTTGAGCCACCAGCATCTATAACGTAACGCCCGCCGTGGTAGAGCCTCACACGGAGCTCCCTCCCCAATTCTGATCATTTTGCATTTGTCACTGCTACCGGACAAGCAGCTGCCCTTACAGTGAACATGAGCTGGCAGCCTCCCAGGATGTAGTCGAGGAAGGAGAAATCTCTGGTTATCTGGAAAAAAAAACAGAGGAAGGGTTTCAGCATCCTTCAGCAACTGCAGGAAAGATAAAAGCAGGAGTCCCACTAGAACTGCCCGAGTCTCCCGTCCTCATGCTCCTGGGTCTTCAGGAAACTTTATCCATGCGGCAAAACAAACAGGAAGAAGCACCTGGCTTTCCCCAGGCAGCATTTTGGCACTTCACGACCCACACATGGAAAGGAGCCAAGCAGGGCCAGTGCTGTAAGCAGGTGTGAAAGGGCAGAACAGGGGACCCCGAGAGCTGGAAGTGCTAATGGTGGCAAAGCGACCTGACCCAACAAGTCTCTCCCCAGCGCCAAAAACAGACTCCTGGGATCTGCAGAAGAGCTACAGGAAGGGCTTTGCTCTGTGCAAATCAAAGACTCAAACGGGAGAGGAATAAAATGAAATATTTGAGCTCTGTACTCACTTTGCAGGACTTGACAATGATGATCCCGGAGTTCTTGTAATTCTTTTTCTTCTTTTGCTTTTTGGGGTTGATGCACTCTAGCTCTAGCTGTAACACAGAACATGGACACCAAGGTGAAAGTGGGGCCAGACTGCTTTTTGGAAACACATTCAGTCTAGGGGCAGTTTAGTAGTAACAAAGCGGGGGACCACTTTGACACTCACTTTGACTTTCCTTTCAAAGCGAGGCTTGCAAGAGCCCAGAAACATGGAGATAAGTCAGCACACCCTGGATGGTTGCTGGAAGGATGGAAGGCAGCAGGATGCAGCCTGGCACAGGGACAGGGAAGGGCCCTTCAAAAACGACTGCAATATCAAACAGCCTGGACACTGCTGAGACTCTGTGCTTCACAAAAATGCAAAATACGGATCTGAACCCAAAGCAAAACACGGATCTATTCCCCTGCTCCTGGGATGTTTGGCAGTACGTACAAGCCAGCCCTGCTCCTCAGGAATTTTCTTCCCAGCTATGTGAATTTAGCTTCTCCACAGTCCCAGCCTGGGTTGGTTGCTCATCCTTGATTCTCCTAGTGCCCATCCCCAGCCTGCCCACAGTTGTGCAGGGCAGGCCAGCAAGCACAGTCACATCCTCTGCGTTGCCTGGGCTCTCTTTATTCCCTATGCCTTGATGCATCAGACCTCTCTGGAAGAAAGACGGCTCCCTGCTTGCCTGAATGCGACATAACTCCCTCATGCTGGTCTTCCCCTCCAGCAAGCAATAAATATGTTCAATGGGAAGCAAAGAAATGGCCCTGCTTCCAAGGAGCTTGCAGGAGAAGGGGGCAGCCTGCAGCTGCAAGGAGAGCAGAGCAAACCGGAGGCCAAAAGGTTGGGAGAAAGTGGAGTGGGAACAAGCGCAATGCTCAAGGAGGTCCCTCTGGAGTCAAAGGGAGCAGGCAGAGCAGGATGAGGAGTCCAAGCGGGGCAAGTTAGGGGAGTTACGAGAAAAAAGCTCGAGCAGAGCTGCAGGAGGACCCACAGGAGCTGGACGGAGGATCCAAGGCTGGGCAGGCCCCAATGGGTAAATACACTGGAGCTCTCCACTACTCTCATCCCAGAGTCATTCCATGGCTGAAGGCTGCTAAGATCCAGCAAAGAAAGACCGCAGAGAAAGGGAGAGAAATGTAATCTCAATTCTGCAGCTGGAGGAAGAGGGAAAATGGGGCATCAAGACAGCAAATGTCCTCCCTTGTCCCCAGCAGCAAATCCCAGCTCTTACCTGACCATTTCTCCACTAAAACACATGCTCACCAGGCCCCATGGAATTCCCCAGGGCCTGTGATTTTAACTGCAGGGCCAAGGGGGACACGTGGCACTTGCTCCCGGGATCCGAAGTGCTGAGACTGCAGGGCTATTTAGAGCAGGCAGCTGAATTTGGATGCATGAGGGACCAGAAAAGCGCAAAGCCGAGAGGTTTCACCAGCCCCGAGCGATCAGGAGGCAGGGGCAGACAGCAAACAAGGCACTTGCAGACGTATCTGCAAGTTATTGCAGGGGAAGAACCTGCTCTGCCCTTCTCCTCGTGGCTTCTCTGCTCCCCAGACTTGCAGCAGTTTTGGCTCAGGTCTTGGACACCAAGGGACTTGGGAGTTGCTGCCCTTCTGCTTGTGCCAGGTAGTGCTGGCCCCCAGCAGCACCTCGCTCAGCCTTCTCCAAAGAGGAGTCCCCTCCGCTCCCCTTGGGGATGGGACAGACCCTCTGCAGTGAGTTTAAGCCTGCTGAGCACAGATCTGCTCCTTGCTCCCTCAAGCAGAGGCGGGTGAGATCTTCACATCCAGCACTGGTAGCAACCAGCTCCTCCTGCACCATGTGAGCTGGACCCCGGCAGCCCCAGCAAGGGTGCCTGGCCTTTAAGCAAGAGGAAAACATGAGCTCAAAGCAGGTACCCCATCAGGCTTCCAGTGCCGAGAGAGATGCTCTGGATGTGACCTTCTGCACCTACTCTAAGTCTTTGCTTAGGTCCAGGGCGGAGCTGGGATGGAGCTCCTATCTGCAGATGTAGCCATGCAAAGTGCAGCACCATGCAGCCTTCATGGTGCCACCATGGACTACAAGACCGCAGAGGGACACATGTCCCATGGAAGGGCTGGCAAGGGATGAGGTGAGAAGAGACCAACAAAACCTGATGGATCCAACAGGGCTCACCGCTCAGCGGCCTGTTGCACTGCAGCTCATGCAGTACATATGAATAAAAACACATCGGGCCAAGAATTTCAGCCATCTCATGTCCCAGCATAGGTCAAATACCAGCTCACATGGGCAAAAAAAACCCCAAACGCCAACAAAACAGAAATAAATATCCTTCAGGGCAGTAAACAAAGGCCTGAATCATTCTGACAAGAGCTGGCAGTGAGAGCAGCGCTGGTTGATAGGGCCAAGCTGGCCCAAGCCCTGCGGAAAGACACAGGGATTTAATAAAGCTGTGGCTAAGAGGTTGGGCCGTGCACCCACCACAAGGGGCAGTTTCCATCCCTGCTCGGTCTTACAGAATTCAAAGCTCACTCCTTGCAAAGAGCACAGAAAATTTTGCAGGTGTCGGCTGCTGCATCTTGACCCCAAACCATGCTGGTTTCAGCGGTTCCACGTCCTTCTGGATGCTCCTGGGAGGTGAGCACAGCCTGCTGGGGACTCTTGGCTCAGAGAAGGCAAAAAGCTCTCCCATGCCTCAGTTTCCCCATCTGCAAAAACGGGAAGCTGAGGAACACACAGGGATCAGTGAAGCT